CAAACACGATACATAGTAGTTCAACAGTGGCATTTATACCTGATAAGTCAGACATTGCTGGTGTGAGACCTGCATCTTATCACTGTAATCACTAATAGCTGGCCAAGGGTGTAGTGGCTGTTCATTGTTTGGCCTACATAGGTGCTATCTAGGGATGTGTCGAATCCGAATCTCATAAAGGTTATTGACGTCCTAATATACAGTACTGTGACATTGCCTGACCATAAAGGTTATTGATGTCATAATATACAGTACTGTGATGTTGACTAACCATAGAGGTTATTGACGTTGTTATATACAGTAACTGTGACATTGCCTGACCATAAAGGTTATTGATGTCATAATATACAGTACTGTGATGTTGACTAACCATAGAGGTTATTGACGTTGTTATATACAGTAACTGTGACATTGCCTGACCATAAAGATTATTGACGCGTAATATACAGTACTGTGACATTGACTAACCATATAGGTTATTGACGTCGTAATATACAGTACTGTGACATTGACCAACCATAGAGGTTATTGTCGTGGTGGTGGTTATAAGTGTTAAATGGTTCCTATTCCATTCTTGCTTTTTTAATCACCATAAGCCAATTTGTAATTATTTTTGGGACTAGAGTTTCGAAGATTCGAGATTCGAGATTCAATTTTTTTTAGGATTCGGATTCGAGATTTGAAATTCCTGGATTCGACAATCACTAGTGATACCCCATAAGCATGATAGCTATTTCATAAATATATTGTTTTTTCTTCATTGTGTACATTATTAAAACAGGATGAATATACTTTTATTTCATTATATTGTTTTATCCGCGTACAGATATATCATGGCTGACAGTTAAAGTTTAAATAACTATGCTGTGACAAACCAGCAGACTAAGCAAATGTTCATTTGCCTGTTTTGATTTTCACTAAAATATTTCCCTAATCATGTCAGGTTTATTCTCTATTGAAATAACATTAGCTGTAAAGAGTATTCTGTTAAAAGGAAAGTTAATTAAGTGTGTCTTTTAGTAAAAAAATGTCAATAGCTTATGTAGCGTAATCAAAAGGTTATTGTAGAAATAATAAAGTGGACTGTATATGGGTTATTAATTTAATTTTGACAACAGAAAATATTGGACTTTTGGTATAATTTTTTAACACTGAACTATAGTTATGTTACCACTTTGACGTTAAGGTCTTGAAAGAAGATCTGGTCGAATGTTGGCTCTAGTCGAGAAGATAATATGTTTCATTAATGTCCAAATGTTCTCACAGTAGGTACACAGAATTTAGAGTGAAATTAAAAAGGGTTTATTTAATGAACACAAAAGGAAAAGGTAAATGAAATAAGTCAAAATAAAAGGAGAGAGAAATGAATTATGTTACACAAAGAAACGATATTACAAGAGAGAAAAGTTGCACTTCTTGAACCAGAATGTTTACCTTGGAATGTTTACATTTTTAACATTTTATTATTGTATTGTTGTTGACATGTGGGGATTATTTTAATATGCTCATATGGTCAGCTGGCCTTTTACTGAACATACCGGCCTCCATAAAACGATAGTTTTATAACAATGAGCACACAATTGTACAAAAAACGGAGCACTGAAGAATATTTTTTTATATTATTTACAACTATTTACAGGTCTTTCTAAGTTTTATGGCTTAGTTTTGAGGGAAAGGGAACACTTTAACAACTTTCACATCAAAGGGACCACAATAGTCAACGCCACTGGTAGTTAGCCACTGGTAAGTGAATGGTTGAGCTGGAGTTACTCTTGCGGTAGGAAGATCTCCCAGGAGTGGAGAGATGTTCTTTGGTTTCACTTTGAAACATTTTACACATTTATGAATACGTGTCCGTATGACTCGACGAGCCGAAAGAATCCAATAGTTTTGGCAAAGGATTGCTTGAGTCAGTTGTGGTCCGGAATGTAAGTGAGTAGTGTGGACAAAGTCTATGAGAAGATCAACGATATGGTGCTTCTTTGGAAGTACTATTGGGTGTTTGACGTTGAATTTCAGCGATAGCTTCTTAAGCCGGCCTCCCACACGAATTATGCCGGAAGCATCCAGAAAAGGGTTTAAACGTTGAAGATTAGAGGTACTGGGTTTGTTTTTGCAAAGTAGAGTCAATTCATTCGTAAAACATGTAGCTTGTACACACTTGATGATCGTACGCTCTGAGTTCTTAAGTTCAGAGACGGTGAGATGCCCATTTCTTCGGTCAGAGCTTCGTGCATTGTGGATAAAGCGCAAGACATAGCTTGTTACTCTAAGTAGTTTGGACCACGATGAGTACTTGGAGAGAAGATCCCATTCTGGAGGTTGGGTTGAAACTAGGACATTTAGAGGAGTAGTTTTACATTCTTGAGTGTCTTCCAAGTTGATGGGAACGAAGCGATTAGATGGCCAATGATTATCTGAAAGAATTAACCATGGAGGGCCATTCCACCATAGAGGATGATCAATGAGTTGAGCGGGAAGCAAACCACGTGACGCACAATCAGCGGGGTTGTCTGTTGAGGGAACGTAGCGCCAGGAGTGAGAGGGGATCAATTCTTTGAAATTAGAGTTGGATTCAAACTTTCGTTCAATTGATTGAAGTCTATGTTCAGCAGCAGATTTTGAAGTGCCCAGTGGTTGATGTTGGTCCTTGAAAGGGAGTCGAACCACATATGTTCCATCTGGAGAGCGGGAGTGAGTTGATTTGAAGTGATCTTCAGCGAGGCGATCGTTTTCAGAGATAGGATTGCACTGCGGTACCTCTTCTTGTTGCCAAAAGCGAAGTAGAGTATTATGTAGCTCGTCCGTAGTGGAGAGTAGAGATGAATGGCATGAGGTGGGAGAAGAGTTAGACAAAGTTGGTGCATTGCCCATTAACACAAATCCCAATCGTGTTCCAATAACGAATGGAAGGTTTGAGCCCAATGGGTAGGATTGATGAGTAAGAAGTTCTGGAAACAAAGCACCTCCTATGAGAATATCAATATTCTGAGGAATATGAAAGGTCGGATCTGCGAGGACAAAAGGTTTTACCAGTTTGTAAACCTCAAAAGAGAGTTGAGTACGAGGCAAAGGAGCGGAAATTCTATCTAGAATATGGAAAGGTTGATTTGAAGCAATTACTTCACTGCCTAGTGTGGATAGTTCTAGGAGTGCATGTCCCTTTGTCGAGGATTGCGATGCAGAGATTCCCACGATTGTGTGAGTAGAGCGGTGACGAGAGACGTTTAATAGCTGTGCTGCCCTCTCTGTCATGAAGTTGAGTTGACTTCCACTGTCGAGCAGACATCGAAAGACATGAGAGATTCCATTAGTAGCGGTAATTTTAATGAGAGCGCTGCCTAGAAGTACCGTAGTTGCAGGCTGAGAAATCGAGAGCGACATTTCTGGTTGAGCAGAAGCGACTACAGAAGGTGTAGCAGTTGAAGGTTTTGAGGGTTTGGCTATAGGAGGAGGCTGCACCGACTTTACAACATTTTCGAAATGTAACAAGGTATGGTGTTTTTGTTTACATTTAAGACATGTGCCTGTTGAGCGACAATCTTTGAGTGTGTGATTGCCAAGACATGAAATACATTTATTTTGCTCCTTTACAAGTTTGTAACGCTCGTTTGGAGATTTCTTAGCAAAAACCTTACACATGTAGATTTTGTGATCGGTTTGTTGACAGGCAAAGCATGATGGAAATGTCTTTACAGAAGTGGAGTGATCACCCGAGCTTACAAGTGCAGTATAGCGGGTGCTTGGTTTGGAGTAATTTTTACTAGATGTGAGGGCAGGCTTTGAATTAGCCTTGTGACAAAAAGTTGAAGAGTGTAGGTTGGCATCTTCACTGTTTGAGCATTCTTCATTGAGAAATTTAATGATTTCGTCCACAGATGGTAACGAATGAGTTTCACATGATTTGAATGAGCGATAATATAATCTATATTTTCTTGAATTTTTCCAAGCCTAACTTTGAATTGTTTGGTTAGTCTTTTATAAGTACAAACCTTAATCGGGGCTAGGTTCACAGGGGCCATAATTGAACAAAAATACAGTCAAAATACATAAGACACAAAAAGTTATTTCACTTCGTTACATAAAAAAATGAATTAGGCTAGTTCAACTTAAATAGTTTGTGGGCCTAAACTCGGAACCAATCAACAAAAAATATAAACACTGAAGGATTGGTATAATGTTTACAAAATTACTATAATGTCACAGAGTCTTTCAGACATTGGAGTATGCCTATTAGGCTAATGTGATCGAGAGAGTGAGAGAGATAGAGGTAGAGGGGAAGTACAAAATATGTGGGAACGACAATATTGAGAGTTTATGAGGTTATGTTCGTCTTTAATCTTCACCAAAAGTCCAAATAATTAGTTCAATCAATTGGTTAATCAACAATCCGGCTCGAAGGACCAAAGATGTAGCGTAATCAAAAGGTTATTGTAGAAATAATAAAGTGGACTGTATATGGGTTATTAATTTAATTTTGACAACAGAAAATATTGGACTTTTGGTATAATTTTTTAACACTGAACTATAGTTATGTTACCACTTTGACGTTAAGGTCTTGAAAGAAGATCTGGTCGAATGTTGGCTCTAGTCGAGAAGATAATATGTTTCATTAATGTCCAAATGTTCTCACAGTAGGTACACAGAATTTAGAGTGAAATTAAAAAGGGTTTATTTAATGAACACAAAAGGAAAAGGTAAATGAAATAAGTCAAAATAAAAGGAGAGAGAAATGAATTATGTTACACAAAGAAACGATATTACAAGAGAGAAAAGTTGCACTTCTTGAACCAGAATGTTTACCTTGGAATGTTTACATTTTTAACATTTTATTATTGTATTGTTGTTGACATGTGGGGATTATTTTAATATGCTCATATGGTCAGCTGGCCTTTTACTGAACAGCTTAATATAAAATAAGTAAATTTACCGAATTTGATCAAAATATATCCTTAAATATATCCTTTATTAATAAATTTCTGCTATATCTGTCAGCTGACCTGTCTCAATATAAAGGCAATGACATCAGAGCTCTCCCAGTAGCTGGCGTGGAACAGGTGAGGAAGTGCATTGGTGGGGAAGTTAGCCAGGCCTTCGGGGCAGTAGAGAGCGTAGTCCAGTCTTTTGGCCCCCCACCACTTCTGTGTAACTATGAAACACAAACACAATCCAACATAACACTATGTTTGACAACTGGCATGAAAACACCGCACCGTGTTGCGATACGACCTATAGCGGCTTATACATGAGGAAAGTAGACTTAGCAAGTTGCTGGCTAAAGCCAAACACTGTACAGTACAGTAATAATTTACGTAATGAAAAAAAAACAGTACTTGTAAGCTCCTGCTAGTCACAGGCTACAGGAACATCCTGTTTCAGAACAGAGGCTTGTAAATGATAATGAGCATTAATGTTCCCGTGTAAAACCGTGGACATCACCTGCGAGATATCTCCTGCAGTTACAGAGTTATTATCATTGACTCCTGGGTTGGCAACACCATTGTAAACACCTCCCGGCAATCATGAAGACATAGAAATTGCTTACGACGATGATAGTTGGAATAAATAATTACGAATTACATCTAGTCTCGCCTCATGAACGAGGATATATTTTTCTTTCCTGAAATTTTGGGCTCCGTTTGGCGTTTACTCTTATCTTTCATGGTGCCCTTGGCTAGTGTCCATTTTGCCACCTCCTACTTACGGCCCTGCTGGTGCATAAAAGAAGTTTTCTTTTTTAGAAGCTTTTTGATTGTTCAAATTACAATGGTAAAATGTTAGATAGTAGCACAGGAGCACAGTCACCAGTATTCGACACTATAACGACCACGTGAAGTGAAAAAGAGAGAAGAGGGAAAGGCAAGGGGCAAAGAGAAAGAGAGTGAGTACAATACACACTCCTTCTTTGTAATGAGTGGGGTAGCCGCATTCTCATGTGTAGGAGTGCACATAGTGGCACTGTATGTACCTCCTTGTGTTTGTGCGGGGTAGCCCACTAGGCCTCAGAAGGCAAATTTCAAAATTAAAGACACAAATGCATAGGTCAAGTGAAAACAGATATTTACTTTGAAAAAATTGCAACAAGTAAATAGCTATAGCCCCATGAAAATGACACATTTTTCCATTAACTATAATTGTGACCTAGTATTTTGAAATTTATTTTATAGTGACAAGCTTATGAACATTTTTGAAAATTTGGGAGGAAAGTATAGTATTTTTGTAAGCATAATTAATAGCAAGTTTACAAATTTGTCAGACCTGTGGTTCACCTACGTTTGTACCAACATTTGACAAAATGACCACTTTCAAGCATCTCAAGTCACACTAATTGTTGTAATTGTTATTAAATTTATTAAAAAAATATACAGCTGTATTTATTACTGGTTTTGTTTACTAAAAATAGACAGTACTCTTACCTGGGGATCTCACATTGATTATATAACTCCAAAACTATCAAGAACAATATTTCTCCTAAGACGCCTGGTTCATTGCTTGGAAACAAATTCTGTTAGAACTGCCTATTTTGCAAACTTTCAATCAATAATTCGATATGGATTAATTCTCTGGGGTAACTGCAGTAGAGTGAATGAAATCTTAATTCTCCAAAAAAGAGCCGTTAGGGTTATCGCTGAATCTGAACTTGATGAACATTGTAAACCTCTTTTTGTTTCAATGAAAATTCCTACTATTATTAATCTGTATATCTTTGATTTAACTGTATATTTAATAAATAACACACTAATACTAAAATTCCATAAACACAGATATAATACTAGAAATAAAAGTCATACTTCCATTGACTACCACAGGCCCTCAAAATCTATAAACAGCCATGTTGTTGTAGCTCCTAAGGTTTACAAAACTCATTGGCCTTTTCTCAAAATATGATGTCAAACAATTCAAGAGAAAGTTTTATAACTGGTTATTAATAAACCCACTTTATTCACTTAATGAGTTTTTTCTTGCCAAATTGCTTTCTAGATCGTTCTATACACTTAAATACAAATCCCCACACTCTATAAATTATTCTTCACATTGAAACTATTATTGAAAACTAATCCTCTCTTTTTTTTATTAAGATATGATGTTATCAGAAATTATTTTCTATTTTATCTGTTATTGATGTTCCAGGCCAGCTTGAAGGAGAAATTGTTTGTTTAGTTGTTTTGTTCTATATATTATACAATTTAAGTTTAATTTTAAATTTACATCTACTTTAATTTGCTTCATGACAATTTGTAAAATGCAATCTGACCTATCCTATTGTACTTTATTGTACCAAATGGAAATAAATACATTTGATTTGATTTAATACCCTTAAGAAATTTGTTTATGCAATCGCCAATTAATATTTGACTTACGTTGGTTGATGGTGTGGAGAGGCAATGAGTCCACCACTCCTGACATGGTGCTCTGGATGCTGACCTCAGACAATCTCCGCAAATGTATGGAGGGAGATGCGACACTAAGGCCTTCTGTGAAGAGCTGCGGATTGGTGTGGACAATCTCCACTGTGGAGAGGAACTTCATTAGTAATTGTAGACTGCTATCAAAAATAATGAGCATCGTAACAAATAAATAATTACAAATTTTATAGCAAAAGACTATAGAATTGTATCTAGAGTTACAAAACTTTGCACTATAAACAAAACATTAGAATATTTCAAATACACTGACAGCAATTTAGATTTTTGAAGAGAGTTTTCTTCAGCCCTAATGGCAGCCTATAATAGATACTAATAATAATGGTTTAAATACCTGATTCTGGTATTCCAAATGTTGTATCCACAACTAGTTCCAACATTCTGAGGTCATCATCAGGTAAGTATAAGGATGATTCTTGTAAATGATCTTTGTACTCAGCTGATGATGACCTCTTAGTAGGTTGAAACTAGTTGTGGATACAGCATTTGGATTGCCAGAATCAGGTATTTATTTAAACCATTATTATTAGTTATTCTTCACAATCCGGAGGCTACTCACAGTACAATGAAGTTAGAAGCTGATCAAGCAAAATTATTTTGTATAGATAAATACTAAATATGTATTTAAAATTAATGTAAGAATTAAATTTTGTGTATTTGTAAATAAATCTGGGATAGTATTATAAATAAAAAAAAAATAAAAAAAAAACTAAATATGTATGTAAGCCTGCTTGCTAGGCTGGATGAAGTGGAGTTAGATGAAGGTGTTGAAATTAATTGAATGGAAGGTGTTATCTTAGGTTTAGGTTCGGCAGTTTCCAGACTTTGTGAACCAAGATAGTTGTTATTGCAACAATGACAATTTTGCCTCTGAACTGTTAAAATAAGGAACCGATGGTATCGGAACCGAGAACCGATTTCGGCTAGGAACCGGTACCGACATTGAAAAAGTGGAACCGACCCAACACTAATTCCAACTGTATATTTAATATTTATATGAATAACATTAATAATCGTGTTATTGTAATATTATAATGTCAACTTACAGAGGTGGTACGGCTGTCCATTGCCCAGAGGGTACTTCTGGTAGCGTGGAATGTTGACTGGTGGTAGGATAGAGAACCTGGCTGATATGAGGGGTTCTAACCTCACAGCTACGGGGTCTGTGGGGTGAAAGAGGTTATACACCTGCTGGACTGCCGGCCTGGGGATGGGGTCTGAAAACAACAGTTGTGTAAATAATCTTGAAAACAACATGTTAAAGGCCTGTTTTGACAGAAGCGGCTCGTGCGTCTAATGCTCAGCAATGACTGCTCTGCGTTAATCACTGCCCACTGCTTTGCATTGTTTCAGGTTAGTCTATTTTGCCAAAAGTATCTATCGCTACAGCCGCCAGCGTCTGTAACTCAGCCGCTAGCGTCTATCGCGGACCACTGCTCCTGGAGCAGACGGAGATGCAGTGGCTAGTGTCTATTAGAAGAAACACATGTTTTGTTGTTGATTGTTCTTATTTTCTCTAGTGCTGTGTGACCTCAGTAAAGCATTTGACAGTGTCCCATTTCATATTCTCCTAAAAAAACTTCAGTTTTACGGTGTGGCGCAAAGCTCCTTGAAACTGATTGAGTCATACCTCTTAAAGAGATTACAATATGTTTCCGTTAGAAATAATTGTTCCAAGATGATTGAAGTGGTATCTGGAGTCCCACAAGGATCAATCCTTGGCCCTTTTTTCTTTACAGTTTATATTAATGATTTGCCCAAAAACTTAAATACCTATACCATTATTTATGCTGATGATACAACATTACTTTCCAATCATGAAAACTTGATTTATTTACAAGAAATGTCCCGACAAGCTGAGACAGTGGCTTATGATTTGTTCTCGACAAATAAACTATCTTTTAATTTGGAAAAAACACAATATATAACATTTAGTTTAAAAAGAGAAGTCAATATGGAATCGGTCAAGCTTTTAGGAATACATATTGATTCAAAATTAAACTGGTCTGTTCTCATCTAAACTGTTTGTAGCGAAATTTCAAGATTGACTTGCCTGCTTTGGAAACTCAAAAGTTTTGTTAGTCCTGATTAGTTGTGACTAGCATACTTTGGCCTCTTTCAGGCACATGTAATATATGGATTGCTTGCATGGGATCACTCACCATACAACATTTAATGCCATCCTATTGCTTCAAAAAAAAGCTATTCGTAATATGGCAGGAGTCGATCACGTAGCACACTGTAAGCAACTTTTTGTAGAGTTCAGAATTCCTACAGTATTCAATCTATACATCTTTCAAGTTCTGGTTTATTATAAAACAAACTTAAATATGTTTCGTACTAGGCACAATATTCATAATCCATATACCAGGGGGAGGGGGAACATGGATATAGTACCACATAGGCTTACCAAAACTAAAACTTCTTTTAAACTAAATTGCATTTACTTTTTCAATAAGCTGCCTGAGAACGCAAGAGAGGTTAGTTTAAACAGGTTTAAATCTGTATTGTACACCTGGCTGGTAGAAAATCCCTTTTATAAACTTGAGGAGTTTTTTAATACACAAGTTTGTATTTCTTTTTAATACATTAATGTCTTGTTTTATTTTTATTTGCTATATGTTACATTTGTATAACAAATTGACTTGTCCTATTTCTGTACAAACACATAATCCATATACCAGGGGGAGGGGGAACATGGATATAGTACCACATAGGCTTACCAAAACTAAAACTTCTTTTAAACTAAATTGCATTTACTTTTTCAATAAGCTGCCTGAGAATGCAAGAGAGGTTAGTTTAAACAGGTTTAAATCTGTATTGTACACCTGGCTGGTAGAAAATCCCTTTTATAAACTTGAGGAGTTTTTTAATACACAAGTTTGTATTTCTTTTTAATACATTAATGTCTTGTTTTATTTTTATTTGCTATATGTTACATTTGTATAACAAATTGACTTGTCCTATTTCTGTACAAACAGATCAATGGAAATAAAATATTCTTATTCTTATTCTTAATGAAACCCCATTAGATTAAGCTGGCAGCAAACAGCTGTTTTCTGGCCTAAATCTTAGTGGGAAGTTAGTCAAAATAGTGTAGTGTGGCGTAAAATAAATTATGTGTTGTGGATTGCCACGTTAAAATTTCCATCATAATAATTTTAAATTCCAGTGACAAAATTAGTTGTCAAAAAAGGTGAGTCCTTTATATTGCATTTACCATAAAAATCAACTATACCGAGCCATGTCTCGGTCCCCCCGATACTAAGAACTTAAACAAGTAACTTAAGTAACAAGATATTAATCAGCTGTTGTTGAAATGTTCAAACTTACAAGCAAACTGTTTGGATAGTAAAGAAAAAGGAGATGAAAAGACTCAAGAGCGCTTGTAAAGGTGGGTTTAAAATTAATTAGATAGGCCTACACGTATTATAAGGTATTTAATTGATCATTAAAAGATTAATTAGGTTCTTATGTCATAATCTATGATATTTATCAATGGACAATGTTGTTTATAAATAAGTTTAATTGTTTGCAATTTTGATTGCTCCGCTCAAATGCAGACTTGAGACCGCGTACCGCAAGTAATCTTAGCTTTGGTTCTTAATTTAATTAAAACTTATCATAAGCAATATAAGTTCATTTGTTTTCAAACCTTTGAGTTTTAAGTAGATTCCGATAGGCCTACTTACTTGTTTTTTCATCGACAGATGCTATTTTTCTGTAGGCAAGGACAAGCGAAAGTGGACTGCCAAACATAAATAACTCATTCACTTCAAAGTCAAACTTTTGACTCGACTGCTCACTGGAATAGAAAACAGAAGATTTAATCAAGCCGAAAAATTATAAACTCGTCTATTAGTAAAAAACTCAATTGAACTCATCTGCCATTTTAATAAAATATTACCTTACAGTAGAACCTCTCATATCCGACCTTGGAATAACCGACTCCTCAAGATATCCGACCACATAGTTGTTTCCTGTCTGGGGCGATAACGCCAAGCGCAATCAGTTAATCGAAAGACCGATCGTGGATGTTGCAGTAATTGCAGCAGATGATTATCACTGTCTACGATAACGGGTGTTGCCGCGGTCGCAGGAGACGATTACTGAAGTCGCGGAGACTGCAGGTTATGATCCTCCTGATCTCGTAGAGCAAGCCAGAGATGATCATAGCAGTAGTAATACTGGGAGAGAGATACTTCCATGTGACAGGAAATTTGGTTTTAGCTTTGTTGATGGGACATAGATGCTATTATCTGCAGCCTAAAAAATTCTTTCAGTATGGGGTATGATGATGTCCCTGTGGTACTTCTAAAAAAAAGCTAAATCAGTCTTACTAAAACCTATTACTCACCTTATAAATTCTTCCTTAATTTCAGGTATTTTCCCAAACAAACTTAAGATTACAAAATTAAAACCACTCTTCAAAAAAGGAGACAATAAAATTGTATCAAACTTTCGCCCTACAGCATTGTTACCAGCTATCTCAAAAATTTATGAAAAGTAGATAATAACCAACTGGTAAATTTTTTGGAAAAAAAATCATCTATTTGAGGACTGTCAACATGGCTTCTGCTATGGTCGATCTGTTATTACAGCTGCCACAGACTTCATTGAATCTGTTATAGATAGTCTAGGCAACAAAGTTAAAATTGCGGGTCTATTCATGGACATTAGCAAAGCCTTTGATTCAATATCACATGATTTATTAACTTTTAAATTGAGTAAATTAGGAATTAAAAACAATACTTTAAACTGGCTAAAATCTTACCTTCATGATAGAAAACAGTTTGTTGAAATTATTTATCATAACAACAAATATTATAAAATCCCTTATCGTTCCGCTATTACAGCTGTTAAATATGGGGTGCCACAGGGATCCATTTCAGGTCCCCTTTTATTTATTTGCTATTTAAGAGACTTCCCTCAGCTTTCTGATTTCAGTAAACTTTGTCTGTATGCTGATGACACCAATTTGAAAATCACTGCATCAACCGATGCTGAATTAGAAACTAAAATTAATACTGACCTATCTCTCTTAAATTTTTTTTTATGCCAACAATTTGCTTTTAAATCCTGAAAAAAACTAATATTATTTGTTTTAAAACTCGATCAGCTCAAAATATAACTCAACCTAATGTTACCATATTTGATTAAAATATTTAAGTGAAAGACAGCATACAATTTTTAGGATTAGAAATAGAAAGTACACTTAAATGGAACCGTCATGTTGAAAAATTACTCGCTAAAATTTCTTCTGGCCTTTACGCATTGGTTAGGCTGAAGATTTTTTGTGAAAAAGAATCTCTAGAAGTTGTTTATTTATCTTACATCCATCCAGTGATATCATTTGGGCTATCTCTTTATGGCGCAACTACTAAAGAAAACTTAAAACTCTCTTTTGATAATGCAAAAAAAACCATTAGAATTATTCGTAATTTACAACCCAGAACTTCAGTTAACCCTTTTAAGGCCAAGCACCAAAACGGCGCCCATCCCTCAAAGGCCAGCTGTTTTATTGTGGTTTGTCCCAGAAAGGCCAGGTGATTTTCCAGCTTGCGAGCATAGTTTTGGTTAAAAATTCATAACAGCTTTATTTTTTATCATAAACCAATAATTTTTTTTTACTTGTTGGAAATCGAATAGGCTTTCAGTAAATATACAAATTACCCACAAATTCTACAAATAAAAAAAAATTCAAAAATAATATTTTTTTTAATTTTTTTTTTTATAAATTTTATGTTTAGCCTTCACTTAAAAATATTCTACCTTCATATATCACTTGTAACCATACATATATATAAACTATAGTTAATTATTAGTAAAATTACAAATTTTGAAGTGCCTACCTTTATTTGAAGTTGAGTTATGGCGTATCATATGAACGGTGACACCACACTGATTTTCATCCAAAATGCGAAATGCAAGCGAATGCCCTAACACTTCCATATCACTTGTAGTTCCATAATTTCAGTCAAAATAAATTACAGCTACACATAATAAAAACAAAAAATAAGAGTTAATCAACCTAACCTAACTTATATACACACACAAAAATTATATACATCTTCAACGCCGACAGGCTTATTTACAGCGATGTTGTCCAAAACATAGGGGATGGATACCCCTTTTGTACCTTTTGCAACAATATCTGGATCTTTTCCTTGGCCCACCATTTGCTGTACTGATAGGGCTACACACTGAACAGTTTTTCTCTAACCTACCAGGTAAATGGTCGATTCCATCTCCACCTCCTCCCACAGGCGCAACAACTTGTCGAGTTTCAAACCACTCCTCAGCTAATTGATCAATAATGTCAGCTGTGTAATCGTATCTGCGTCGTAGAGTTCTGCGTTCATCTAGATAGCAGTACACCATCTGGTCCGAAGTGTCAATACCACCCATAAACATATTGTATTTATCTATGACCTCTGGTTTTTTATTAGTAATAAAATCATTCTGCCTTTTCTTTGTTTTCTCCACTGTTTTTGCCTTAAACTTAGTTGACAGCAAAAGAACCGGGTTTTTCTGGGTCTTCTTTTCTCGGTAACTGAGCATAAGGATATTTTCATTTTCATTTCTTACGTAGCACTGCTGACCAACTTTTAATTTCTCTTTTATTATGTATGGGATTTCCTGCCTGTTCCTCCTTATGGTCCCAGTAATATATGTTTCTTTTGAGAACAGAAACCTAGCTAATGGTATAGACAAAAAAAAATTGTCGACGAAAATGTGGTATCCCTTATTTAGGTAGTTTCCCACTTCTAGTAATTTAACTACAACTTTATGGGCCAAACCTTCTTGCTTGTTTTCATTCAGTTCATTTTCTTTTTTCCCTTAATAACAGAAAAAGCCCAAACAATAGTGCTATACCAGCTGATCATTATTTTAATATGATTGTTTATGTTTTGATTTTACAGTTTTGTTTTTCTGTTTACATCTTAATAAAATGAGTTCATTAAGTTATTCAAATCTATTCTTTATTTAAAACACAACAAATGGCGACGAGTGATGAAAGAAATGATATCAGAAGACTGAAACATAAAAGAGGAGCACTAAAAGGCCAGATTACAAGAACTCTACACCTATTAAAAAGCAAGGGTTCATCAGTCAATGATGCTCCTGGCAGATTAAATGTAGCAGAGGAAGCTTGGCATAAATTCATCTCACTACACGAAGATATTTTACAAATAGAAGATGAAGATGATTTTGAACAAGAAGAAGATTACAGGGCTGATGTAGAAGAGGTATATTTAGAGATAAGAGCATTGTTACAGCCATTCTTTATACCGAACAAATCTACAGATGAACACACAACTTCTATATCAGTTGCACACGATAGCCATGTACCTAACATTAACTTTACACCTTACACAGAGAACGAGACATTTAAAAACTTTTTGATGAGACTTGAAAACTATTTTCAGTTAAAGAAAATTACAGATGAAAAGACCAAGACATGTTTGTTTGTCAGTACACTTTCTCCAGAGATGCACCAAACATTGTGTGATACATTAGCTCCTGAGTTACCAGGTGACAAAACCTTCAATGAACTCACAGAATCTTTGAAAAATTGTCTTGAGCCTTCACCTAGCATACTAGCTAACCAACATAAATTTGTTTGCAAGGTTCAAGAACCTGGAGAGAACATAGCCGTATATGCCAGAGAACTTAAACGTTTAGCAACGGACTGTGATTTTTATTGTTATAACTGTGAAAGTACGGTAAGTGATATGTTCTTAAAAATGCAGTTCATACGGGGGTTAAAAGACAATGAAATTAGAATTAGACTTCTTCAAGAAAAAGATGGTAAAATTTCTTACAACGAAGTGGTACAAACTGCGATTTCCATAGAACAATCTAAATCTGAAAGTTATGAGATTAACCGGAGAGATGGAAATACAATGCTAAAAGAAACTGCAAACATTAACCGCCTACATTGCTATACCAGCTGATCATTATTTTAATATGATTGTTTATGTTTTGATTTTACAGTTTTGTTTTTCTGTTTACATCTTAATAAAATGAGTTCATTAAGTTATTCAAATCTATTCTTTATTTAAAACACAACAAATAGTTACTGACAGAATCACACATCATCCATAATTTGATTCCCCACCTATGATGATGTTTGTTGGGCAAATACTGTGTCATCATTGTGTGGCTTTTTGTACCAATCAAACTCTCGTCTATGGACAATTCTCGATGTGGTACATAATAACGTCGGAAAACTCTATTGGCATGTTCTACTAACAGGGAGAATCTAGAGCATGGGTCATAATTTGGTTCTCCTGGCTTAGGGAGGACACTTGAATCGGTTATATGGAAGAATCGTAAAATAATTTCGAAGCGGTTACGACTGAACATCTCTCTAAACCAGGGTAAGGATTGGCTTTTACTTTTGGTTCTCCAATAACTATCAATTGTAGGCCTTTTGTTTAGGCCCATGTTCAGTATGACTGCTATAAAAGCCTTGATTTCAGCCAATGTAACTGGTGACCACTTTATGGAAGAATTTGGGAATTTCTCCAAGTACCTAGCAGCATACAAGTTTGTCATAGTAACAAAGGTTGTCAGTAATGTCTCAGTAAAAAAAGGTAGAAATAATCAATAGGCCTAGCATTGTTAGCAGGGCAATGTCTAGGTCCTGGTTCTTCATAAAATCCATGCTCTGTGACATTACCTAGATCATTTTCTTCCGAAACGATTTTCCACCCTGCATTGGCGTCTGACTCAAATATAGGCCATTGAACATTGTAGACATCCTTGTCATCATTTACCACACGCCTTTGCCTACCTCTAGGCCTAGGCCTAGTTTCAAAACTTCCACCACCACTATTTTGATCATTACCTAGGTTAGATGATCGCAGTCTACCCCTAGGCCTAGGCCTACCTGAGGAAGTTGATGGCCCTGGATCATCAATATCTTCGCCCTCCTCTTCTTCTACCTCATGATCCTCTGGAATGAAATCGGGGTCCTCATCCGTATCATCGGCTATGTCAAAATCACTATCCTCCTCACCAGAATCATTTTCTCTCAGTTCATTTTCAACAGTAGGACACAAGTCACCATCATCAATAAAAGTAACACCACTTGTATAACGTTCTGTATTAGAGTACCTTCACTTGTGGGTGACTTTTCACGATGTCTTTTACTCATAATTTATGTTAAAATGTACAAACAACAATCTTGTTAAAGGTACAATCAACAATAAACATTACCAAAACGCACAACGAAATGTAAACAATACCTCACTCACTCACGACGGAAGACCACGGCACGGAGTAAGCAAGCTGATTTCGCTAGCAGAATGCACAGAAATAAAAAAAAATTACGAAAACGGCAATCATTGCTGTTATTCATGTAGCCTGGAAATCCTCCTACACAACAATACCAAGGTTTGTGACGTTTGGAAAAATTAAGCAGCCAGTGAATGGAAAAAAAGAGGCGGGTGCCTATTACGGCCGTCGGCCGCGAACGTGACTTTGCCCGCGGGGGGCTATTACGGCCGCCGGCCGTGAACGCCGTTTTACCCGCGGGTGCCTATTACAGCCGTCGGCCTTAAAAGGGTTAAAGATTATTTTAAATTAGAAAACATCATGACTGTTTATGGAATGTATGTTTTTGAAACAGTTTTATCCATAAAAAATAGATTTCAGGAATTGGAGCTAATCGGTAACAATCATGAATATAACACCAGAAATCGGGGCTGTATCGAAATGAGCTCTTACGCTCTGGAACTTTTAAAAAACAAACCTAAATATGCTGGTTCAAAATTGTATAACAAAATTCCAAAAAGCATAACTAACAGATGAGGTGTCAACAAAAAAATTCAAAATTAAATTGAAGCAGTACCTCATCAACAAAGCTATTTATTCTTTCGATGAGTTGTAGGAAGTAATGTCAATTTTTGCATTGTTAATAATTCTAAGAAACCTTTGTTTTTTATTTTTCAATACCTGTACTACCTGAAACTATTTATGTATGTATTGTATACTACTAACAAATAAAGATTATTTGAATTTCAATACCCGACCTTTTGGCTGTTCCTGTCATGGTCGGATATGAGGGGTTCTACTGTAAGTGCAAGTTACACTCATGGGTGTTTTGCGGTTGCGGGAGACAATTACAGATGACCCGGAGACTGCAGGTTATGCTCCTCCCGATATCTGACCTTTTGGCTGGTCCCGTCAGGATCGGATATGAGGGGTTCTACTGTTTAATCAATTTAAAGCAAAAGTTTTGAAAATGCTTTTTTCTCAAAACTAAGAATTATATGAAAGTTTTTGAGGTAGTAACAGAGGTTGTAAAAATAAATCAGTGCAATACAGCTTAATTTAACCTAAATACCCTACCATGCTCTACTAAAGCACAAAATGTCCCAGTATTATAACATAAACATGGATAAAAGTCATTGGTTATTGGCAAAATTTTAACTTGGGCCTATCGTAGAGTGGTCTTATGCCTAGAGACTAGCCATATAACCCTACATGACAGAAACATTCATAGCAATCAGGGCAGTAATAATTTATAAATAAAAATACTTTTTAAAAATACCACGTTTTTAAACGCACTAAAAAGTATAAAATAATTTTTAAATATGTTGAGAGAATAAATACTTGTAAGATTTAAAACGAAAAATGTGGGGGGCATGCAATGGATCATAATAGTTCAATAGGCGAAATTAATTGTAAATTAGCATGCGCCCACGTTTTTCGTTTTAAATCTTACAAGTATTTATTCTCTCAACATATTTATAAATTATTTTATACTTTTTAGTGCGTTTAAAAACGTAGCATTTCTAAAAAGTATTTTTATTTATAAATTATTTTCTACTGTTTAGTTTTTAATGTGTATGGATGTTAAATCTATTTCAAGCATCTATATCAGATTAAGACAGAGAGGCATGTGGGAAATCTAAGATTTATTTGAGTTTCTTTTCATATAATTATGTATTAGATTGAATGTAATGACCTACCTACTAACTATAAATATATCAAACTATTTAATTTATTGTTTACTTTATAGAATACTAAATAAATAATAAATTGTCATTATTAACAAACACCTTTATATCTGCAATCAGATTGTTTATCTTTATTTTGAAATGTTTGTTTGTATAATGAATCTCTTGGGAGCATAACTTGTACCTCTTAACCTCTGCTCTCCGAACTGTCAAATTTAAGTATTTACAGCAGACTTAAATTAATTGATATATTTACATTCTTTTAAAATGTAAACATGGAAAATTTGGAAGCCCATGGGGCGTAGCCCAAGGGAAATATGAAAATTAAATGATATAATATTGCATTGTCATCCATTTGTGAGCTATGAATCAAATTTCAAGTCTCTAGGTCATCGGAAACTTCGTTTAGAATTGATATCAAAATTTGTAGGAAAGCGGGCTAATAAAAACAAGCCCATGCGGCATAGCCCAAGGGAAATATGAAAATTAATTGATATAATATTGCATTGTCTTCTATTTGTGAGCTATGTTTCAAGTTTAAAGTCTCTAGCTCATCGGGAAGTTAGTATAAAATTAATTGCAAAATTTGTACCGGACAAGAAAGCGAGCTAATAAAAACGTTTTAAAATGAAAGTTAACTATAACTTTTAATTTAAGTTAACATTTTATAACTCTTGATATTAGTTTTTTAACAATTATTTTGATTCCAACCCAATCCTCTAGTTTTTATTAATAATTTTACCTTGTCGATGATGATCTTCTTCTTGGTAAAGGAGCTGTAAGATGACTCTCTACTAAAACAAACAAAAGAAGAGCCATAATGTTAAACAAAATCAATATCAGCTATTCAGCAGGTTTGAAGACAACGTTCAACTGTCTACCCACAGATTAGTTTATTCGAAAATTGGCAAATTAAAAAACATATGTGGGGAAAGTTTTGTGAAAAAATAAAAAGTAGGCTTACAAAAAATCAATTCAATCGGTTGAAATACCAAAAAGGAAGTCTAACGTTTTCTATTATTGAGAGTATAATGTTATAATTTTGGGTAACATGCTAGATTGTGGATTTGATAATAAGTAGCACTAACAACAACACAAATGTTTGTGTATGTTAGTTATCATTTGACTTTTTAAGTTTATAAATATTTCTTGAAACTTTTGACCTACCTCTATATACAACTCTGCTGATTTATTTATTGTATTTTAAGTTTCAAACATCGCCTCAAACAAAGTTATTGGATTATTATGTTTAAATGCTTTATTTGTATACACTGTGCTTGATGCTAAAATTTGAGGTACCGGAAAGAAAAACTAGCAAGAGCTTTTGATTCTCTTATCTATTCTCCACCATCCCTCTAATTCTCTTCAGTGGTTTGAGCGCGGGACTCCGGTTCCTATATATGAATAAATATACTTCATTCTTGAAAATTAACTTATCTGCAATATAAAAGTAAAATCTAAATTTTTCTCTTCGTTGTTTTGATGTAATTAATAAATTTCATCACCTGTAAACTCGGCATCCAGTATATTGTCTATCTCTTGTCGCGAGGGTGTTGCATCTGAGTTGGATCTACATAAGGCATCATACGCCAAGATGGATCCCATGGAGTCCCCTGATCAACAATACCAAACATTATTGAAAATAAATGGTATCAGCAATATGACACATACTTTCTCCCCTTAGCTTGTCAACAACCCCACTCACACACACAGATATCACTTCAAAGACCACTTTTTTTATATTCAGGGGAATCCAAAACGGATGTATCCACCCAAAACTCAAACTGAAAAATGTTGACGAAAACAATACTTTCTCCCACGATTACTAGAAAAATACTGGTATGGATCATAAACATCAACAAATGACATTTTTTAACCCGAAAATAAACATTATTTAACAACTGCAAAAACGCTATTAGTATAGGATTCGGGCCAACAACGTCATTTGTTTATGTTTATGATCCATACCGGGTATTTTTCTAGTATTCGTGCTTTCTCCTAATAGGGGGAGAATGAAAAAATAAAGTACAAGAAAGGCCGGCACCAAACTATCCCGTTTCGCCGGTCCGGTCAAACGGGACTCGTTTGACGGGATGATTCAAACTCATGGTTTTTAATGGGCGCAGCCACATTGTTGCAGTTGCGGTGCGTCGAAGGGATCCACCGCATGCATGCTGATCGGTGTAGTGGGACAACCGGAAGACGGGACAAATGGCGAAACACATGCAGATAAATGAGAGCAGTCATACTATCAGGTTGTGCCGAGTGTTTATACCTACTGCCACTGTTGTCAAGTGTACTTAGCATGTGATGCTCGCGCTCTTCACTCAATAGTTATTTGTGCAACTAGTGAGAAAAGTGAGCAATTGACTCACTCGAGAGAAATGCTTACTCACGAGGAATGGTTTCTCGAGTGAGGCAATTGTACTTTGAACTCGAGTTGCACATTATACTTTTCCTACAGTTACCATAAAACAAAATAAATTTGTGAAGAAACATAACCTATTTTTACACAGAAGTGAACTTTTAATATAACATTTAAAATTTGAAGTGACAAATACAACAGTACAACGCTGACCAGCTGATTTACAGCCAGTGCTGCCAACGTATTTCGCGCGCATACGACGTTGCCTGCATGTTACACGCTCACTATTTCGTGCCTCCACGTTGCAAATCTGGAGTGAGACAAAGTAATTAGAGTGAGACAATGTTAACATTGTCTCACTGATGAGCAAATTGGCCACTTTGCTTTCTCAAATCAGTAAAAGAACATGTACATTGTTAGGTAACTGTAGGAAAAGTATGTTGCAGTAGAGCAGGAAGGTGTGATAGGGTAATGTCAATGCGGCAAAAACGCATTTCGCTCAACCGTATCCCGCTAAACGGGATAGTGTGGCGCCGACAAGTATATAAAATGTGTGCAGGGATGAATATGTAAATGGATAAGTAAAAATTGTATTAATGCAGATTCAACGTTTTCTTGTCATAACAGCACTATATTGTCAGCATATAAATCATTCAAAACATCGACTACGGTCATTGCTGTAGAAATACTTTTTACTAACCTATCAGGTTAACCTGACCGTTGAACCCCTTCCCCTCCTCACTCCTGATAAAGTCTTGGTAGGCCAGGTTGGCAGCACTGATGGTGCGACTGATAGCATCTTGGTACTCTGGTGAGGCTGTGGACAGCAGAGGGATGGCTCCGATGGGTACAGAGTCATGAGTCACATGGGGAGTGTCACTGCATGAAGGAGATACGTCAAAACTGTACGGGCTCAAGCTGCAGACAAAAACAAGGCGGAATTGTACTAATGTATGTGATATCTGAATATGTCATTGGATGTTTTATTAATTAAGATTAGCCTCATTTAATATTTAGGACTAGCTGTGTGCCCGTTCTATGCACGGGGATCTTATAGTAGTCAGTTGAATGTGACAAAAATCACACAATGTTGGGTTTTTGGACATTTGTAATTTTATTTCTTAAGTAGGTAGGCCATGTATTCTATGGAAAAGTACCGGTATCAAGGATCGTCGTCGAAAAGGTTGTTATGAATAAATAGGTAGGCGCACGTACCCAAGATACAGTCTATGGGCCTATTGGCTGTATGGTCCAGCGATTGCGATGAGTAGAAACAGAAAGTGACACATTGGAAAAGCGAGTTTAGCATCATCCGTAAACCTCTGTTACAATCACCCACTGCAGTTGTGATTTTTTTACTTTACACTTTACACAATCGCCATTGAAGCGCCGTCAATGAGTGGAGACCTTGTTTGTAAGCTATTGGCGACGATCATTCATTGTCCCAGCCGTATACAACACTGATTCAAGGTCTTTTTTCTGGTTATCAAAACTCCAAGAACAATTTTATACACAAATAATTTCTGGTTACTGACCTGGATGATGCCTAGTTATTTAATTTCATTTACGGTTACACTATAATATTGCACTTGCGATTAATTAAATCCGTTATGTAAGAAAAACGTTTTTAATCTCACTTGGCCGGGATTTGCTTTCAAAACGTGATCGGAAATGGTTGCGGTATTTGTAAACAACATTTGTAAACATATCAGTGACAGCTAGAAAAAATAATCTTGATCCGAACAGATGTTCGTTATTTCATAGATGATTATGAGATAAAAATTGTACGAAAATTTGACAAAAATCGCACAAAACTGCATTTTTGAACATCCGTAATTTTATTTAAAAAGTAGCGGGGCCATATTTTAATTACTTAAGACACTCTCGCCAATCCAGTGAATACATTAAAATGACTTGGATCTTGATAGGTACTCTCGTTTTCATGGAGAAGATTGCGTAAAATGCCATCTTGAGTGTTACAGACAGACAGACAGACAGAAATAGAGATAAGAATTGTTTCTGCTTCTTTAATGTATGAAACGTAAAAATAACCTAAAAATATATAATTCTGAGCAATGTACAGACAAAACTCTAATTTTATTTATATAGATGACTTGGATGAATATAGGCCCTAATTACTTCATAATTTGAGCATTTTAGAAGGAAATTTCAGTTACATCTTTACATTTTGGTAGGCATGGCCGAGAGAGTGTAGATGCTGGTGCTTCTTGTCTGGAACAAGTTTTGATTAAATTCTAGTAACTTGTTCAACGTTGCAAGGGTAAAAGAGACACGTTTAGTAAATTTTTTTGTCACACAGCACCATTTCTTAGGGTAACTGGTTCACAAAACCAATAAATAAATATATATATATATATATTAGTTGTTAGATTTTATGAGTTGGCTCAAATAATTTGTAGGATGCAACAGGGATTAACCTGTCAATAAAGTAAAAATTCTCATTCAATTTAATGTAATTCCGTAGTTTTTTATTTGTTAGATCAGTAAGTCTAATATCAATAAGGGGTATTTGTTGTAGTGAAATACACAATGTAACACGATGATAAAACATTTAAAAAAATGAATTTCATTAACAAAACAATGATAATACATTTATTAATTACCATGAATTTTTTAAGAAAAAAATAAAAGTTAAAAAAGACACACATCTAGATCTGACGTTAATGAATCCCATTAGCGTTAAAATTTAAATTTGCCTCCCTTTTAAACTTTTTTTAATGAAAAAATTTGTGATAATTATACCATACATGTATTAAAAACAGCTATTTTCACTGCAGTATAATGTAAAAAATATTTTGCTGCGATTATTTAAAACAAATTTTAAACGTTGTGCTTACCTGGACAAAACACTGAGACTATCAGTGCAAATGGACGGACAAGAAACCAGCTTGATATGAATGTGTCCTACTAGTGTGGGGTAGTGGGAGCGGATAACACACTCAAACGCCCCTCGGAATGTGGTTATATCACTCTTCTTGGCAGTCAGGTCAACGTTAGCATCTGGGGGCAGGAAATTCATTTTAAAACTGCAAATATTAAAATTCAAAACATATTTATGAAGTGCATTACCTAATAATTCAAGTTTAATTTATTTTAAGAGGAATATCATTGAATAACTTTAAGTATCATCAATAGGTACAATAAGAAGTGTGCATGAATGAAATCAAATCATTAATTGAGCCATTACGCACACAGACTCAATAGGCATGTCAAAAGTAAATTGATAAGTGCTTCACAATGGCATGCAATTTTTATCACTGAATAGCAAGGATTGTTGCAAACAACTATCATTAGGCCTACTCTTTTGAAAGAGTAATTCAGAAAGAATTTTAAGGATCAGTGGTAACTTGTTGAACAAATTAAACAGATCGAACCTCTTAAAACAGTTTAGAAACTTTTACAACATACACCTAGGGAATTGAGATTATTACTACTAATAGTTACATGAATATTTCCAGAACTTACACTTTTTGGTTTCTAAAATAAGGAATCACAATTCTTTGAAAATCTTACAGTATTTAATATACTGCTACGATTTTTTGGATTACAAATATTTTTATTCAAACGGTCATTTAATTGATCCCATAGAACATAAGGAGTATATTATAAAAAATATACAGGGTGAATAAAAAGTCAAGACCCCCCCCCCTCTAATATTCTTCCAAGTAAATATACAGAGATATCCTTTTGGTGGTCGTGTAATCAAAATGTATCAAAAAATGGGGGTTTACATTTAAAATTTTTAAGTGTCCCCCCAAAAGGGGGGATTGGGGGGCAACTAAAAATGTTTCAATGTAAACCCCATCAAGTGACACCTCATTTTGAAGTGTTTACAAAATCTTAAAGAATGGTGAAAACCAGAGTTTGCTATCTCTTCTCTATCCAAAATGGTAGCCAATATTACCATTACGAACCAATTTTACCATTTTGGATACAGAAGAGATAGCGACCTCTAATTTTCATCATTCTTTAAGTTTTTGTAAACACTTCAAAATGAGGCATCACTTGAAGGGGGTTTACATTTAAAATATTTGAGTTACCCCCCAAATCCCCTCTTTTGGGGGGACACTCAAAAATTTCAAAATCATAAAATGAAACTTCCTGCTAAGATTGCTCGACCACCAAAAGGATATCTCTGTATATTTAATGGGAAAATTATTAAAAGGGAGGGTCTTGACTTTTTATTCACCCTGTATATTCAATGATCACATTTTCACAGCAGAGAAATAAGGTTAGGTTAGTTTACCGAGCACACTGCCAGCGTGCAGCACCAGTAGCAGCACAGTGGTGGTACACGAGCTCTGATGATTGGTCGAGTGAAGCGTCGGACTTCCTGGACAGCTGATATCTACACTACGACCTCTCTCACTAGCAGCTCGCTTAAGGTACGTTCCACAGAATATGCTGTCATCGTGAACTGTTCAATATAGGAAATCATAATTTTATTCATCATGTTCCTAGGATTGATCACTATCATGATTAATCTTGAAAAGCTAACAAGGATGTAGTTCTTAGAATTTTTAGTTTACTGGCAGTCATTTTCTGTGATGCAATGTGCAACAAGTTTTTCTGAATGAGCAAAGTTTCATGTATACACTTTCGTGTATGTTTAATGTATGTGAACTTCCTATACGGCAATCGTATGATAAGCATGCCCCCAATTGTTAACCAAAATAAAAGAAAGGGCATTGACATAAGAACGTAAAGTAAAGTAGAACCCCTCAAATCTGACCACGACTTCAGTTATTGTCGCCCGCCACCATGGCCAAAACTCATGTCTTGCAGTTTCGACAACATCGTCAATCGTCTCCCGCTACCACGGAAACACCCGTGAACATGTCTTGTAGTCTCGGCGATATCGGTAATCTTATCCCGCTACCCATAAACATGTCTTGCAGTCTCGGCAACATCGGTAATCGTCTATTTTCTTCTTTTGGTTAGTTGCTGAAAAACGTCAATTATATTTACCTGAGAATGGTAAGTTAAAAGGCCTCATGTTGTTCAGGTGGATTTTTGTATCCCTTAACTGTGGATAATAATTGAATTCTTCAATGAAAGTGATGTAAAGGTTTCTTGGATGTAGTCATATTTTTCTAAAATCACTTAACTTTTATGGAAACGTTAATCCAGAACATGATCCTTGTTGTTTAACATGTCCTTGATGTACCAGTTTTTTTTTAGCCTTAGAGGGCTTTCCTCTGCAATGATCACAAACTTTTAAGTCCATGTTTCCAACTAAAAATGGTAGCACTTCGGCCAACATCCTCATTTATCGTTTGTAGGTATCTTCATCTCGTAGGTGTTCTTCATTATATAGGCTAATAACGATAATAAATTCTATAAAAAAACATTATCTCTATTTCTAGACTTGGTGGTGTTCTTTCTATGTTTCCATAGTTTGCAAATAGGTTCTTTCAATGATTGTTCAAGAAATACAGTACTTTGTCGATTCAGTTTTCTTATTTGGTGAAATATAACACATTGTCCAGGCTTTCTCGCTTTTTCCATTGTAATATGAACACAAACCCAAATTCAAATAGTAAATATTTAATTCCAACCATGTCATTAAAATTTAATGTTGTATCAGGCATTTCCTTGAATTGCAACTTAATATCAACAGTAATTAAAGTATCCAGCTGACCATAATGTAAACAAATATGTTCTTCATAAGGATAACATGGGAACTTTAAAAGCCGCTAGGGCAGAGTCCAAGGGAATTTTTTGAAAATTTAAGATCAGTTTGCACATCTACGCGACACACTCTTTTCAATGAAACAGAATGGTAAAAATCGGTTAATAAATGGCAGAGGAGTTTCAACCAATGAGTATATAACCTTTTGAGTAGCCCAATGCCTTTGATAAAAATTCAGTCTGAAAATATTTGAATTTCGGATAGTTCCCGTGGCGGTCGCTAGGTAAACTATCGCAAGCGCGCGGCCATCGGCCAAGTCAGCTGACTGAGTGAGAGGTAGTGAGACAAAGAATCGGCATAGAGAGAGAGAGAGAGAGAGAGATGGATAGATAGAGTAGCACGGCCGCCGTGAGAAGCGATCCTAGCAGCGTTCGCGCGAAGCTCATTTCGGTGACGAAATTCCAGTCTGAATATTCTCTATTAAGCATTTCGCTTCTTAAAGAGTTTGTATTCATTGGTTCAACTGACTAATTTCATGTTGGAAAATTAATTATATAGATTTACAGTAACACACATCATGTTGCCTTTGGAACTCCCTACCCTACACCATCGGGTGCCGAGATTCCAGTTCTGAAGTAACGGCGGCTCTGAAAGTTAACTTTCTCGATCAGATGACTGTGGCTTGGCAGGGTGGCATGTGCTAGGCCTAGATGTGGCGGAGAGTGAACGTGTGTGTGTGAATATCTTAAGGACTATGATTTGTGACTTTAGTTTATAGTTATTGCTTTATGTATACAACAATTTTTGCTAACCCTCCACAGCAAACCTGCAGACTAAGCAAATTTCAACTTTTCTGATTGGATTTTAACTCAGATATTTCCATTGACAAGTCATATTTTTTCCCTATTTAAATAAAATTGGATTTGACAAGTAACTAGGTTTGCTGCTACGGAGTAGGTAAATTGGTTTCGATGAAATGTATAGGATGAAATACATAAATTTGCCAAATTTGAACAAAATATATCCATTAAAAAGCAAACTACAACAGCTTTCATTTTCTCATTAGGAATAATATAGGAATTTTAAAAGTAGTTTTTTTCCGCAGTAACCTTCAATTGTACAAAAATACTTTAATCTACAAAACTGTTTTTTATTTTAAAGTGCCATACAATGGTTTCAATAAAAACATGCAATTTCAATGTTTTAAAGGGAAAAAGTTGAAAGAACAATTTTTGAAAATTACAAAACCCCATAACCCAATTTTAATGATTTGAAAACTCAAGTCTATCAAGTTTATCCAGCTCTTCAAATTTATACCAACATTTCCAATTTTTCCATACAGCCTGCGCTCAAAGCGCTTGACTCCTACGAATTCAATTCCAAGGTGGTCTGGGACTGCCTCTCGGCAGTAACCTGGGCAGGCGCAACAAGGTAACACACTCTGTTGGGTTCCAGGGCACTCAGAGATAGAAGGGAACGAGGTGGCTGACAGGCTAGCAAATGTCATATCAGCCTCAGACTTCGTGGGACCACAGCCTTTCTGTGGAATATCTCGTGGCCATGCATGTCACTCAGTCATGTCATGGGCTCAGGAGGAACACAGGATAAAAAAGTTTAGGCTTCAGCACCATAGGGTAAATAAGCTCACTCTCTTCTTCCCTTCCCAGACGGTCGCCTCCAATGCTTAACGTTTAGACAAGAGGCAACTCGGACAGATCACAGGAATGGTCACTGGCCATGGCTTCCTGAAATTGCACCTGCATCGCTTGAGGAAACACAATGGAGACACTGTGTGTAGAAAATGTGGGCAGTCAGAGGAGACTGCAAATCACCTACTCTACGACTGTACAGATCTGAACGAGGTAAGGGACAGTACTCTTGGAGCAATGACAAGGGGCAGACACCTTACTCAGGAGGAGCTCATAGATAGGATGCTGAAGTTCATTAATCAACTCGGGTTTGACGGAATCTGATGTACCATGTGGGGAGCGCAAAAAGCCCATCAGTGGCTGACGTGCAACTAGACAAGGTTCGCCCCAACAGAATCAATCAATCAATACCAAATTTCATCAAAATCAGCCCAAAATTACTCGAGTTATATATATATATATCACTGGAGACATTAAAATGAAATAGTAAATCTGTACCGGTCTAGGTCTTTCCCTGCAGCTTGCAGTTTTCTCTATAGGAAAATTAGCAAAAATGTATTGTTGAGTTTATATTTAGTATTTAGGAGGTTACATGTAAGAAAGGTTGTGACACTCACTTTAAAAAAATTATTTTATCATACTGCAGCAAAAATTGCCGTTTTTAATGTATGCGTTGCAGGTCTAAGGTAACATTTTTAATATAATAAATAGGTTACATACCTTATAAATCCGACAAACAGCTCATTTTGAAAAAACTGCCGAGAAAGAACCAGCAAAACCTTCAAAAACACAACGTGGAGAGCCAGACAAACTCCAACGAAAAAACTGCAAACTGAAGCAACAACCGGGAGAGTCAGACAAACTCCTACTAAAAAACTGCCAACAGAGACTACGACAGGGAGAGTCAGACAATGTCCTACTAAAATACTGCCAACCGAGACTACAACCGGGAGAGTCAGACAAACTCCTACTAAAAAACTGCCAACAGAGACTACAACAGGGAGAGTCAGACAAACTCCTACTAAAATACTGCCAACCGAGACTACAACCGGGAGAGTCAGACAAACTCCTACTAAAATACTGCCAACCGAGACTACAACCGGGAGAGTCAGACAAACTCCTACTAAAAAACTGCCAACAGAGACTACAACCTGGAGTCAGACAAACTCCTACAAAAAAACTAGGGATGGACGAGATTGGATTTTTAGTTCGAGACGAGACGAGACGAGATTTTTTATTTCTCATAAAATTTCGAGACGAGATCGAGACGGGATTTCCCTTCTCATACACAACGGGAAATGCACGTTCAAAATTTTTACCTGATTTTGTAACATTGTTAGATGACTGTTTAAATACAAAAATAATGATAATAGGCAAGAATATTTACAATCTTTTATTAAAAAACATCAGCATAACATTTTTTTATTAATCACGCCTAACTTATTAAAAATGCCTACGATTAGGAAACATAGTGATATCAGTTAGGATAGAGTTAAACTTATCCTAAAATAAAATAAATCATAAAATAAATTGTAAATTGTAAGATTGTAATTTTTATAAAATAGTTACTTGTTTTGACTTTTTATAGTAATAAAACATTCCTCACACTGCTTACACTTAACAAAACTTCTCAAATGTTATTAAAGTAATATTATTAAAATAATTAAAATAATATTTACATTTAAAGAATTAATTAAATAAGAACGCCTTCGCAAAGGAAACGCAACTACAACACGCTCCTGTATTGCACATTGCATTGACTTTCTGCAGGCGTTTTTAATTTTTTTTTTTTTTTTTTTTTTATATATATTCTTGTCTCGATAAAAATCTCGGTCAAAAAAAAATCTCGTCTCGTGTAACGAGATTTAAAATTTCCCGAAAATTTCCCGAAATTTCGAGACTTGACCATCCCTAAAAAAAACTGTCATCTGAGACCTCAACGGAACAAGTATCAACAGAGGGAACCAGCCAAACCCCGCCACAAAAACTGTCACAAACAGTAAAAGCTTAAGAGACTAAAAAGAGACTAAAGACTAGAAAGAGACTAAAAATAAAAATAAATTTCCACCCCTAAATGCTAAGCCAATTACAAACGAGGATTAGAATGATTTCTTTGTAAAAAATATAGGATTTTAT